TATTTTAATGTTTTATATTTGTTTATCTCATGTTTAAGTGTTTTACTGATGGCTGGCATTGATGAAAAGAAACTTGTCAGAGCAAGCAACTCTTTTATTTTTAACTTAGTAGTTTAAGACAAAATTTGTATAATTTGTACAGGTGTAAGTTTGTAAGTATACTAAGAAAACTCAATAGTATTTTTGAAAACTTACATTTTCAAAAATGTGAAGGCACTACTAGCCAATACATTGTTTAGCTGGATAAGTCAAATAACAGTAACAAGTTCAATATATTGAAGCAATATATATATAGCTCGATTTGAACTTTGTTGTTGCATTAGTTCCAGCATTAATTTTTTACAACAAAGTAAATTCCTTTAAACAAGGCAGCCAGTATGTTTCAAGTGTTAACAGTGAATGACAAGTGAGGATAAGACACCAGTGGCTTTTCTGTTCATATTAATTTTAATCTCTCTCTCCACTGTATTTCATGTTACAATACTATGAACTATGTTTTGTTGCCGATCAGATGTGATACTATAACCATTTTGTCAACTGCCATATGTTTTATGACAGTTGTTGCCTTTTCAACCACACCTATGAATTTTAGTGTGTTTGTGTGTATATATATATATATATCAAGTGTTTATGTATGTGTGTGTGTGTGTGTTTGTGGTTCACTCTTCAAGTTCTTCAGTCCTGCATGGAAATTTCAACTTTCCTAACTTCCTCTTGCACCAGCAGATTACAGTTTCTGTACTTTCAAAAACAGAAAATTGGCCTTTTTGTAGGCTATTTTTTATCAATCATGACTTTTTTCTCTAATGTTTATCTTAAATGCTTGCCCTTAAAATGAATGGCTATACGTTTGATATTCAAATTCATATTGATATTTTTATTCCAATTTAAGAAAATAAAGCTGGACATTCTCCAAAAGATATGCTGTCTGTCTTTATAAAATCTCTCCTATTGGTGATACACCAAGTGCAAATACTCTTCTTCCAAAGTTTTCTCAATTACAGAATTTATTTGTAATAATATATAAAAAGGTATAAATTTCTGTACTAAGAATGTATCAAACACTATACTTCCAAACTTCTGAATAAAGACAAAGGAATAAATCAGATGAGTAGGAAGTATCTACATTTTAGAGTAGCAGTACAGGTGGTGACATATCTCACTACATGAATATTTAAAGTACACTCTCTCTATCATACATGGAGCATTAGATGTATTAGACAGAAATAGACTGAATATTTAAATGATACAAAATTTTTGTGCATATTACAACAGTGAAGACACAAGATACTTATATATATATTGTAAGAACAAAAAATGTATAGAACAACAATATAGAGTGGATATTTAAACTGTACAACAACAATTGGGTGTATATTACAACAGTACAGTCAGACACAAGATATTTATATATTGTAAGAATAAGAGATGTATAGAACAACAATACAGACTGAATATTTAAATTATATAACAATACTTAGGAGCATATTACAACAGTAAAGATACAAGATGCTCATATATTGTAAGAACAAGAGACAGAGGTGTTGCCCTGAATCTTCAGTTGGTGTCTTGAAAAATCATAATAGAAATCCATGATCAGTATCATAGTAAAATGGCAAAGAATGCCCACGCATATGGGTCCGAGCCCGGAATCTTTTAATTACCTAGTGATGCCTCTGACAAGAGATATACAGAATAGCAATACAGACTGTATATTTAAATTTTTTTAACAATATTTAGATATGTATTACAATAGTACAGACACAATATGTTTATATATTGTAAGAAGTAGAGCTGTAAGGAAGAACAATACAAACTGAATATTTAAACTGCATAACAACAGTTTGGAGCATATTACAATGGTAAGACACAAGGAAGAACAATATGGACACTATAGAACAGTACATTTATACACGATTATTGAAATAAGAATCTACAATGTTACAACAGAATCTACATCTAAAAACAGTATAGACACTACATGTATCTAGTGTTTTAACAGTATGGACACTATAGATGTTTATGTAGTGTTATGGCTATATATCTTTATAAAATGTAAACACGAAATTTTAAACAGCATTAGAACTATAGAAGAATATAACAATATAAATGCTGAATGATTATGTAGTGTTTCAATGGTAGATTACAACAATATTGACACTAGATGGTTATGGAGTGTTAGATAATCTGATTGCAACAATATATACATTATATGGTTATGTATTGTAAGGGCAATATATTACAACAATATAGACACTAGATGGTTATGTAGTTTTTGAACAATAGATTACAACAACCTTGACACTACATTGTTATGTAGCATTAGGAAAATAGACAACAATAACATTCACACTAGATGGTTATTTAGTGTTAGGATAGTAGATTACAACAATATAGATACTATATATTTAGCACTAAAACAGTAGGTATATTTAAGAACAAAATGTACAATAGACATTTGTATATTGCTAAAATAATAGATATAGATAACAATTAATATAAACATTAGATCTTTATGATTTTTATATGGTGTATATACATAGCAGTAGACCAGATGTTTATATCATATATATATACAATAGAATCTCGACGTTAAGGGCACCTTTCTGACTGCGTCCAAATGCCCTCTATAGCAAGGTGCCCTTAATATCAAAAATGAGCCATGCAAAGCTGGATTCCATATTGTCCATACTAAATTTCTTAATTTTAAGGCCCCCCCATTTTGTTTGGTGTATGCAGGACACAGGTGTTCGTGAGTTACATGTTGCCATGACATCGAGTGTTGTCAACAGGAGGTCTCAGGGGGTGGATTAACTGTGCCCTTTTTTTCTTTACTATTGATCACAAAGTTTCAAAGTACTTCTCTTCAGAGTTTGAACTATTAAACATTTCACATTTATTTTCTGTGTTTATTTTACTGTCAAAGACTGAAGTAGAAATCTGCTGAAAATAAAGCAACAAATCACCACTTGTGTCATTAGACTGTTTGCGTGACACAGTAATACGAGATCCTCGAGAACAACAAAGCACATGCACAGAAATAAGCCAACTTGACCCTTGCTTCGAGAACACAATGTGGAATTTATCAGCTTGTGTATCCTACAGTGTTAACAATGAAAATTCCCCAGAGCAATAAGATTGCACTTTGCATCTGTGTAAACTTTTATTACAGTATATGGTTCGGAGCCGATCAAATAAACATCGCAAGTGTTTGAATTTTGATCATCCTTCTAGGATGTTTAGAATTTAGTGGTATACCAAAAAGGCATACTGCCACTTTAGCAAGTGCCCCTATAGAGAATGAGACTAAAAATACTGCCCTTAATCTGGAATATTGAGATACCCATTATTGCAAGATTTATTTTTTTACAAATAGTAGGAAAAAGAAAGAGACTGAAAAGGTCTGTCCTTAATGGCACGGTGCCCTTTGTTTCGAGGTGCTCACTAATCGAGGTTCTACTATATATATATATATATATATATAATAAAATATAGACACCACATGTTATAAGTT